AAAAAAAAAAAAAAAAAAAAAAAAAAAAAAAAAAACAGAAGAAGAAGAAAATCAGCTCTGATCACCCACTCAAGGCCTTTCAGAGGCAAAGTTAGCACAGTGAAGGTTAACATCAAAGGTACTCAGTGCCTGCATCATGGGGCAGGAAGATGGACTAAAATGTGTACAGCACATCTAATCCCTGTTAGATGTAAACTGAGGAATCGGGATTGGATCATGACCCCAAGGGCTCTCCAGCAGTTGAGCCCAGCACCGGCACAGAGGAACGTCCAGCAGGTCACCCCTCCTGCATGCTGCTTGATGCTTCTGTTGTTCTTGCTGCCTCCAACCCTGCTGCTCCTGCTCGTGACTTAACTAAGTTCTTCACTTTCATTAATTTAATAAATATTGATTGCAAGCTGCTGCTTTTGTCAAGGTTACCCTAAGAACTGCAGTAATTTATTTTTCTCTAAACTCATCTAACACAGCAACTTTTGCAAAAATTGAGGGTTTTTGTTTTTTTTGTGTGTGTGTGTATGTGTGTTTGTTTGTTTGTTTTGAGATGGGATCTACTCTGTTGCCTAAGCTAGAATGCATCAGCACAATCATAACCCACTACAGCCTCAGCCACCCAGGCTCAAGCAATCCTCCCATCTCAGCCTCCTGAGTAGCTGGGACTACAGGCCCATGCCACCATGCCTGGCTAAGTTTTCTGTTTTTGTAGAGACAAGGTCTCACTATGTTGCTCAGGCTGGTCTCTACTCCTGAATTCGAGCAATCCTCCTGCCTTGGCCTCCCAGAGTGCTGGGGTTATAGGCGTGAGCCACTGCACCTGGCCAAAAAATTGAGTTTCACATCAGATGAGTTTGGAAATGGCCACATTCCATAGCCCTGCTTGAAGATGTGTGATGCACGTTCGCACAAAAATGGTCCTGAGAGATCCTAAGTCAAAAATATCCAGGTTAGCTTGTTTAACTTAGTTATTAGGCCCTGTGCGGGTGTTGGGCTTGCAAAGATAAGGCCCACACAGCTCTGCCACCTGAGGAGCTCACAGATGGGGGAGACAGTGATTGTGATACAATTGTAGACGTGTACTGATTGAGACATTTGCGAAGTGCTGACAAAGGAGAATAAGTGAGCAATCCTATATGCAAGGGTCAGGGAAGCCTTTGCAGTTAAGAGGATATTTAAGTAAGAGTTTTTCAGGGGGAGAAGATGAAAAAGAGCTTTCCATACAAGTAACAGCATATTTAGAGACATATAGCTGTATCTTTGGGTTGGCCTTTGGGGTAAGCATTATCAAGTATTATCCAAGATTATCTTTATTTTTTCATGGAATACATCAATCAGACTGGGTTAAGCAGCAAATGGAACGCGCTGACTCACATAACAGAAAAGTTTGGGGCTTCAGGCATGTCTGGATCCAGGGGCTTAACCTATGACATCAGGATTAAGTCTTTTCTCTCCATTTCTTGACTCTGTGTCCTGTTGACTTTTCATTCTTAGGCTTCCTTTTCCCCATGAGATGGCAGAATGGCTGCTTACAACTTTCAGTCACACCCTTACCAGCAGAAAGAGTTTCTTTTCCCTGACACTGTCAACAAAAATCCCAGGACTACATCTCGTTGGTCTAGCTCGTGTTATTTGTGCATCACTAAACCACTTTCTTGAGAAGGGGCATGGAACATTCTGACATTTCCTCTCAAATCGCATGGACTAAAGCTCGGGGAGAGGTGGCTTCCTGTCCTAGGTAATTTCTGTTGGCCTTTCCTGACCTCCACCCTTTTCCTTCCTAATTTGAGCCTCAAGAGGCCAGCCTGCATGGTACCGCTTCCACAGGTCCCTTGTCCTCTAACTTACAGTTGAATTCACCAAGTAGAAGACACTAGAAAAGAGACCAGAGGGTTGGAGGAGGAGGAAGGTAAGGGTATTGTTCCTCTGGCCCCTGCCTTTCTAGATTGCTGCAGGTTGGTTGCATGCGTTTACTGAAGCTTCTGTCAACTGGCCTTCTTCACACAGGTATTTTCTCCTAGTTCTAGTAAATTCTCCCTTCTCTCACCCTCGAGGTGATAAAGGCTCCCCTCTGTTGCTTGCCACAGCGTATCACATCATCAGTCCTGCTTTCTCCCTCAACCCTGCCCACACATCCGTATGTAACCTTTACTAAACCCTTCTTAGATTAATCATCTGCTGGGATGCCGATAGTTATGTTGACCAAAGGAGATTCAAGTCGCTATTACCAAAAGAAAGGAGAATGAATAAAGAGTAGGCAACAGTACTGAGGCAGTGATATTGATTTGGAAGAAGTATTGCCATAGTGCAGACCAGAGATGACTGTGGCTTGGACGGGGTTGTGAAGGGGGAAGCAATGAGAAATGGCAGGATTCTGGCTGTATCGCAGAGGCAACGTTAACACAAGTTATTGAGGAATTGTGTGTAAGTTGCGAGCGGTAAAGAGGAGTGGAGGATGGAAGCAGTTGGAAAACATGCACCTGGAGCCTAGGAGTGAGCTCAGACCAGCTGTAGTGATTTGGGAGGGAGGCGCGGTGGTTAGCTGAAATGACCCAGTGAGCAAACGTAGAACGGAACACAAAAAGGACAAAGAGCAGAATCTGGAACAAACACCAGCCTTTCCATGGTGAACAGAGGAAGAGTTGCCATCTTGTATCTATGGTCTAGATCGTGAACGACTTGATAACTTGAGAACAGGAGTGGACTCTTCCACATCCTTCCTCTTTAACATCCTGTCTAGCGAGGCGATGGCCACACAGGGGATAGATAATAAATGCTTGTTATGAATGAACTTGACACAGTTTCACATTTCTAACACTCCCTCCCTCTCCTTCTCACATAAGGTTTGAGTTACAGGCCGAGAAAAAGAAATTGATCCCCGTGGCTCAATCCATTGAAACCTATGCCAAGGTTGCTAAGCGTTTCACTGTCCTGGAAAACTTAAGTAGAACCTCTCCAACGATGCTGCATATCCTGAGTAGTACAGCTCTTGCCTTTCAGGAGAATTTCCAGACCTGCGATTTCATTTCAGATTTTCTTATTCTTATTTGAGTAGATTTAACAGTAAATACCCTAACAAATCCTTATTAGGTTTGTGTTGGGTCTGTGCTATGAAAATAATACAAATGGCAAAAGATCTCCATCTCACACTCATACACTGCTGGTGGAATGTAAAAGGATGCAGCTGTTTTTGGAAACTGCCAGTTTATCAAGTTAAACATACGCCTACCCTATGACCCAGAAATTCTACTCCTTGATGTAGACTCAAGAGAAATGTAGGAAAATGTCTACCAAAAGGAGCTGGTACAAGAATGCTCTTAACATCTTGGCCGGGCATGGTGGCTCACACCTATAATCGCAGCACTGGGACACCAAGGTGGGTGGATCAGTTGAGGTCAGGAGTTTGAGAGCAGCCTGGGCAACATGATGAAACCTGTCTCTACTAAAAATACAATAACTAGCTGGGCGTGGTGACAGGCACCTGTAATCCCCACTACTTGAGAGGCTGAGGT